TGAAGTTGACCTGTCTTCACAGGCACTTGAAGCCCGATTTTTAGCATCGAAATTCAATGGCCCGATGTGGAATATTGGCGGGGTTTGATGATTTGGAACGCAAGAACCATTGCTTATGGCTTTGATTGCAGATGGCTCGAGTGCTTGGAAGGTGTTCGTTATAATTCCCTGTGATTTTGGAAGACAAGCAGCGAAGTTGAGAAAGTACTCGTACGCAGGGCCTCCGCGGTTGAGAAGAGGCAAGGGCATTTGGGAGGCTCGGAGAGGTGGCAATCCGGGAAAGTGGAGAACGGCGTCGTTTAGGTCTCTGAAGCTCTTGGGGGTTTGGTTGTGGATGATGGGTAGGTAGAGAAAGAGAGCAAGAGCAGAGGCGCAGGAGGTGAAGTAGAAGTACGTTGGGATTTGAGGGTCATATGGGTGGTGGACAGAGGAGGTGATAAAGGCTAAGACTTTTGAACTTTGTGAAATGGTTTCGAGGGCTTGGAGGACATTGGGGATGTTGAGACGCATGAATTCGATTGCGGATTCTACAGGGTTTTCGATGTGGGATTGGTGAAGATGGAGGGAGGGGAGGGTGAAGAAGGAGATTGGGAGATTGGGGTTGGTTTGGTTTTGATCAGATGAGATGAGGTTGATGTAAGTGGAGGATGTGGTGGAGGTTTCAAAAGGTGTGGAACTTGTGAGTAGAATCGTTATGGGCAAGTTGGGATGGTGTTGGGAGATTAACCTTGCTAATTCTACCATGGAGATGATTTGGTGAGAACCAGGGGCTGGGTACAAAACTATGCTTTCTTTCATTTTCTTATGTCGATGAGAAAGAGAGAGGGATGGTTTATTCTATAAGGCCAAGTCTTACTAAATATAAGATGATTATTTCCTAGGATAATCGTTTTTCTTGTGATCAGAAGTCAAGCTATGCTTTCTTAAACTTTCATTTTTCTGTTGAAGAGAGAGAGAGAGAGAGAGAGAGAGATGGTTTCTTCCCAATTCTTCCTACACAAGATGTAAATGTTGTGCGCCTCTTGATCTAAAAAGAAGACCAGTAAGCATAAAGACCATTATTTCCTAAAATAATTATCTTCTTGTGACCAGAAGCTCTTGCCTTTAATTTATTTGCTTTGTTGGTTTTGCCTTCTGCCTCATCACTCAGACTGAAGCGTTACATATGGGCAAGTGAGCTAAATACATGAAATTAGTCCGCTCAAAAGCAATGACTTGATGTAAAAACACAGGATGGTATAGAAACCATACATTATTCTCTTTAGCATATTTACCGGGAGCTAATGTTAGTAGATACTTTAGGAAATGCTAGACATCACTTAAATCCTTGTGTTTGGTTATGTAATTTACCTTCTTCAATTGCTGTGAAAGTTACATATGATGTTCAGAATCTTGTCCTCATACGAGGAGTCTCTTTATAAGCATGTGTGAGATGTTTCTCCTCATAAATGATTTTAATCATTCCAAAATTATATCTATATATATATATATATAAAGCAAAATGCAGAAAATTGTGAAACATTTAAAATATCAGAAAATGTTTTTAGTTAATCCAAACATTAAGAATTAAAATTATTAATTAAATGAGAATAATATGGTAAGTTCACATTTTTTCATATTTAAAAAAATTAAAATAAAAAAACAGATAATGAATCCTATTTTTATGGAACACAACTATCCATTATTATTTTTTAATTCTAAAATAAATTTAATTTTTTTTATTATAAAAAAAGACCTCTCATAGGCGCGGAAGCGCGTGCGAAGAAGCTAATGCTACATAACAAACATAGTTACATATAAGTTTCTCTCATCGGAGTGTTATATCAATAATAAATATATCAGAGGTATTTATAAAATTAAGTCTTATATCAATAAATAATATCCATAAAGAAAAAGGAAAAATGGCAGTCATCTTTAAAATGGAAGTCTTTACAATTTTGCCCAAAAATTTAAAAAGGGGAAATATAGCTGTCACATCAGACGAGGGAACCTTTAAAAGGAGGCGAGAGGAAGAGGCGCGCGCATCTTTTAGGCGTTGTGGCTAGGGTTTTTCATCAGAAACAGAACAAATAAATAAACAGGGCAAAACGATTTAGGGTTTGCACACTTTAGTTCTCTACTGGATCAGCATTACCTCAATTGCACAGGCGGTGTTAGGTTCGGTTCTCTCACTCTCTCACTCTCTCATTCTCTCACTCACTCACTCTCTCTTTCTTTACTTATTTAGTTAAATAATCCCCGTAGATATGGTTTTTCAGATTGGGGATTGTATCTGGGTTTTATTTATTTAACGTTTTAGACTTCCATCTATTTGGCGAGTATTCTATGCGTAATCTACTGTGGTTTTTCCTCCAGTTAGTTTTTCTCGAATATAGTTGGACACGGAAATCGTAAAATGCTTTTCTGCAGTTCAGTTTTGCTTCTGAGCTCTTCGCATAGTTTACTGGTGCATTTGTTAAATCAACGGTAGAAAGCAGTGGAGTATGAGTTTTCCAGGAAAATAAGACTTTGGGTTTCTAGGGTTTCTTTTTGTTTCAATTGAAAGCTGCCACTCCTATTACTTTCCGGATATGAAATTTCAAGTTAAATCTTGAAAAGTTATTTAAGATAAGACAAGTTTATTGCAGTCCTCAATCTAAAGAGTTTGGGAAAGGTAAGGAGAATGAGTGATGGTTTAAATTACAAATTATATGTGTCGTTGGATTAATCTAATGATCTGTATTAAATAGGACCTCAGGCCTTCTCCAAACCATTTGGGGCTAAACCCAAATTTTCCCCAACCAAAAATTAACCATTTGGGTTTTGCCCGGACTCAAATAGTTTTTTCTTTCAACCCTCCGGACTCAAATTTTAAGTCCACAACTTTATTAAATTGTTTAAGATGGTTAAAGTCTTTTTTTCTTTTTTTTTTTAATGGATAACTTTTCTTCATTTAATCGTTTTAAATAACTTCATAATTTAATTTTTTGAAGAATTTGACCTTAAAAAATTGAAATTCTACAAATATAATTGTTTTGGTAGATTATTTGAGAAATGAGTGGGTATGGAGGTGAGTTTTGATGTTGAATATTATATAGATTAAGTTAAAATATTATTTTGAGCTTTGGATTTAAATTTCAACCGTTGGATTTTTTTTTACCGTTAAAATAACATTTAATAAACAAACGAGCCTCCCTGCATGCGCTTCCGCGCGTACGAGAGACTTTTTTTTAATCACACGCGCTATGCGCAACATACAAAGTTTCGTAAATATTTTTTCGCAATTGTATTTATATAGATGTCCGTTTCAACAGTTTCATATTTTAATTGCACGCGTATGATATATCGTTGTCCTAAAAATTTTCCTTTATCGCCCGTATTTTTCTAGACGTCCATCTTAGCAATTTCTTTTTTTTTCTTTTATAGCATGTAAACTGTTAAGATGTGATGTCTAGAAAAATACGGGCGATAAAGGAAAACTTTTAGGACGACGATATATCACACGGGTGCGATTAAAATATGAAACTGTTGAAATGGGCATCTATATAAATACAATTGTGAAAAAATATTTAGAAAACTTTGTAAGTCGTGCATCATTAAAAAAAAGCCTCTCGGAAGCGCGTGCAGGGAGGCTAGTATATACTAAAACTAAATCCGAGTTACTGTTCTAGACTGTTCATTAGGAATAGTGAAATGACGTTTGTGCCCCTACTTAACCGGTTGCCCTCTTGATTATGTTGACTAATGAACAGTACAATGGCCTTTTTGCCCTGATGCACAGCAACATAACCCTTTTACCTGATCGCTTCTTTTTGGAGAAACCAAAGCAGCTTCATTGAAGAAAAGTGAGAGAGAGAGGCCTCACAGCTCCACTGCAACTTATGGACAAGGTGAGGATAGAAGAGGTTCAGTCCACCACCAAGAAGAACCGCATAGCCACTCATACCCACATCAAAGGCCTTGGTCTTGAGGTCTTTCTCTCTCTCTCTCTCTCTCTCTCTCTCTCTCTCTCTCTCTATTTATTTTTGTTCTAAATACTGATTACCCATAAACATATGTCGTCTTGTAGTATATTTCAAAGCTATCTTGAAGGTTCTTCCTTTTTCCTGTTGTAAAGTAGTTTGCCTTTTTCGATTTTAGGGTTTGTGGTTTTAGGGTTTGTTAGGTGCACTACATTTTACTGGCATTCCTCGTTTATTTGCTGAAATGTTAGGTTATTTAGTACACTGAATGGGCATGCGTATCAGAGATAAACGGTTTGTTGCTAATGCTTCATGTTTTACTCTTGCCAAAAAAAAAAAAAAAAAATGCCGTCTGTTATGACACTCACACTCCATGTGGTTGTGTTAGAAATTAGAGTTCGATGCTTTATCTTCAGATGATGCTGTATTCATGGTAGTGTAGTAAGTAAATATACTCCTGGCAGCAAAGAAACCAACTAATGAAATGGAGAAGTTTAAAACGTCAGTTTTTCTGCCATCTGGAGGCATAAAAATGGTTCATAAATCTATTCTTTAAATTTCAAAATCAGGAGATTAATGTCAGCTTAACTCCAATTGTGTATAACCATGGTTTTAGTTTTTCATTTTGTTTTCTGGAGTGATCTCCATGTGAATGACAATATAATTTGGGTTTTTGGGTGTCATTCTATTCCAGGCCAATGGAAGAGCAATACCTTGGGCCGCTGGCTTTGTGGGTCAGGGGGAAGCGAGAGAAGCTGCTGGTCTTGTTGTTGATATGATACGACAGAAGAAGATGGCTGGTCGGGCACTTTTACTGGCTGGACCTCCTGGTACTGGAAAGACAGCACTGGCTCTTGGAATATCCCAGGAGCTTGGGAGTAAGGTATTCCTCACGTTTTTCGTCTGTTATCTGAAATGTAATGTTAATTAATAATCTGATGTTTCATGAGATTTCTTGGTTCATATTCCATTAGGGATAGTGTTTTTTTTTCTTAATGGTTAATGGTTCTTGTTTGCAGGTTCCATTCTGCCCAATGGTTGGATCAGAAGTATATTCATCAGAAGTAAAGAAAACTGAGGTTTTAATGGAAAATTTTAGACGGGCTATTGGTCTGCGTATCAAGGAAAATAAAGAGGTCTATGAAGGAGAGGCAAGTTTCTAATGATATCAAATATTTTGTAAATAATTTGGTGTGATAATGTTACTTTTATATTTGAGTTGGTTGGTTTCAGTTGATGATGTTTTGATAGTTTCATTTTAGGTGACAGAACTCACACCAGAAGAAACAGAGAGTGTTACAGGTGGTTATGGTAAAAGCATCAGCCACGTCATCATTGGATTAAAAACTGTTAAAGGAACCAAGCAACTGAAGTTGGATCCCACCATTTATGATGCATTGATTAAGGAAAAGGTAAGGTCCTCCTGTTATTATTTATTTTTTGCGTATGAATGAAGAATAAAAAAACTATTTGTTTTGCCTAGTTGATTATTTAACGTCTTCGTGTTGAAGTACACTTTATTTTTGGGCCATTTGTTCTTTTGATACCACTTTCCTGATACAACATGCAGGTAGCTGTTGGTGATGTTATATACATTGAAGCAAATAGTGGAGCAGTAAAAAGAGTGGGTAGAAGTGATGCTTTTGCTACAGAATTTGATCTGGAAGCAGAAGAGTATGTTCCACTTCCAAAAGGAGAGGTTCACAAAAAGAAGGAGATTGTGCAGGTTTGTTCTATGTGAACTGTGTGTTTCTTTGTAAATGTTCTCTGTGATGATGGTAGCACCCATTTTATCATACTTAGTCTTGGATGGGTTTTTCTATTGGCTAGTAGCCTTATTAGTAATTACTCAAGTTGATCGGTGGAAAGTTCTTGCTGGCTCTGGGTACTACTTTTTTAAAGGAATGTGTATCATCCCCGCATGGTCCAGATATTTCCCAAAAAGTGCATTCCTACTTCTGTTTATTTGATTAATATAGGAAACTGGATTCTCCAAACATGTTGAAAAGTTTAGTTGTCTGCAATTAAGTAGTTGGACTTGAGCACTGCAGTCCACCCATGAAATGATTATTAAGGATTTTTGGCCTGATAACTTGGTACTAGTAGAAATGGAAACTTAACATTTTCTTGGAATACCATCTGAACTACCATATATAGGCATATCTTACTAAATCCTTAACACTGGTGTTTCTGACCAATTTTTCTTCATGTTTTCTTTAAGTTATTATTGTGTTCAATTTTTGTTAACGGATTCCAACTTTTATGCTTTGCATTTAATCTGCTT